GTAATGATGGGATTCATCAACTCTATTTTCGTGACTGAAGTACTTTTAATCCTGTTGAAAATTTCAAAAATCAAGTATCATAGGTAAGAATTTGGAGAATTACCTCATTGAATCCTTGAGTAGCACGGACAAACCTCCTGTAATTTGTTGTAGTTGAATTATAAAAAGGTTAGTACCCAGTTCAATCTCAGTTAGAAGTTTATCTTCAGAAATGGAGAAATATTAGACATTTTACCTCAAAAAGCATTTAGCTGTCGGGGCTGTCATTTCAAACTTCAAGTAATTTAAAACAGCAGACTCCATTTGCAATACCTATAGAGAATGAAGTTCTTAGTACCATTGCAAGAAACAGTCCCAAGTTTAGGAGAATGACAAATTGACAATGAATACAAACCTCCTCCTTGAAATATGTGTTGTCAGTGATGTAGCAGAACTCCTCTACCTGAGGTGCACAAATCTCTTCATATTTGCTGGCAAAATCAATTTTGCATATCATTAAATTTATTCAAAGAAAGTTGTGACAGTGTGCTGCATTAAGCAACACAGGTAACATATGAAGATAAATAAAGCAAAACTATAGTTGATTATTGATTATGATGACAAAAGCTAGACAAGTTAGAGAATAGTGCAAAATCTTACGATGCAATCATCATGCAAGCCACGCCCAACAGTTGTAACCGTTGCCTATCCATTAAATTGCCAGAAAGATAGCGATCAATGTAATTAACAGTCAGATATAAAGTATCTGGGACAAGTCGGTACTCCTCAGCAACCTGTAGTTAAAAAGTTTATGGTTTAATTTCTCTGATGAAACTGGGAGAAATTGTTGACAAGTTGCAATGCCTATAATAAGAACTTGATGGAGGAAATATTTTGGACAATGGAATTCAATTTGGGCAGTTTACCTCAACCAGCCAATCAATCAGAATTGCACGCATGCTGGCATTTATGTCTTTCTGAACCTTTTCCATGAAATCAGTGGATGGCCTTTTCTTCACCTGATTAAATGAACAAAGAAAATAGAATGAGCACTTGTATGGCCAAAACTTGATAAATCAAGGAAGCAATCACATAATACCAAGTGACAAATATATGTTAGAACGTTTATCTTAAAGAGGGTTGGTTTTAAACCTCAGATGCTCGCAAGTGCTTGTAGATATCACAGGCCATGGTTGCACAGAATTGAGGGTCCTCAAGATTATCATCAATGTTAGGAATGCGATCCCTTGACTCTATGTCCACAATTATGTCTCTCTTGCATATATTTCCTGTAGGAATCCATCAAATTTTAAGAGATCCATATTTCACACTCCAAAAGAAAAATGTAATGAATATCAAATACAAAGCAAGCATAGACAGCAAGGTCAGAGGTACAACACCTGTTGTTTCTTGGTGTTCCGAAATATAGAGCGCACTAGATGCCTTCTTCTCAATGGAATGAACTCCAGCAGTTTCATTGTTGTCAATATATTCAACTTCTGGACTTCTTAGTGAATCACAAGGAGACATGGATTCATCCATAGAAGCCGTCATCCCATCCGACTTAGCTGGAGAATTATCCATGCTGCATGTGACAGGAGGGAGGGTGGCCTTCTGGAGAATAGCATCACTTCCAATAGCAGATGGTCCCTTACTGGGTACTGTGATAGGTTTCACAAGGGTGGATGTTGGCACGATCGAAGTCCCTAAGAATCCAGCATTACCCGTAGAACTAGAAGAACTCTTCTTGATACCAACATTCTTCGATGTGCAGGGCGCCTTTGAATTTCAAAAATGAAATGAAGTTAATAACTTTTAGAGAAAAAGAAACAGCCATTCTTTGTTCTTTTGTACTAGTGTTTAGTGCCTGCAGCATTTAGCAAACAGAATATCTCCAAGATTCCAAGTTCACCCAAGAAGAAATCATGAAGCTAAAATTCCAAAGTAAAAAAAGAAAGATAAAGAGAGAGAGACAACTGTTTGTTCATAATACTTTATGGGTATTTTCTGATTTTCTTCACCGCCTAAGAAAAAACACCTTAATTTTGTGTTCTTCTTAGAATTGTAAATTCCTAACCCCATAATTATCAGTACAATTTCAAGAACTCCATTTTCTTTAAAATCGGTTTGACATACATTTCACAGTGAGTACGGAATTCGTCAAGATAATCACCCAAGAACAGCATTACAACAAACACATCAAATACACAAAGAAGAAAGAAGAAAGTAAAAAAAAAAAAATAATAAATAAATAAAAACACACACACACACTCAAACGCATTCAAAATCAGATTTTACATTCCCCGATGCATCAAAAAGCGAAACCTACAAGGAAACGAAAATGCGATAACTAGAAAGAAAGAGGGAAACGGGGAACATACAATGCTCGAGGATTCGGAGAAGGTGCTTCGCGAGGAAAGCAGAGAGCCGGTCCTCTGGTTGGTGATGTTGGTGAGCGCGGGGCGTTTATGGGCCAGGCGTTGGTCGGCGGCCGCCGCGACCTTTCCGTGGCGATTTTCCGCCGCCGCCGCCGCCTGCCTCTTGGCCGCTGCATTGGAAGCCGAGGAAGAGCGCCGAGTTTGTGCTGTGGTCGCCATTAATCCCGTGTGTCTGAGAAACCTTGAATTCCTCTGAACACAAAGCACTAGGGCTCTGCTCTGAACTGCACTCTATTATTCTGTTGGGTTTAATTGAAAGAGAAGACGAAAAGAATGAGGAACGCGTAGGCGAGAGAAGACATATAAATCTCTACGAATTTATATTTGGAATGCGATATCTCGCATCTTTATATCTATATTTATTCCACTATCATGCATTTCAAATGGGAAGGACCGCAGCATTTAATAAGCATACAAATTATTAATTTAAATTTTAAAATGTGATGATTTTTTATTGTGCGTGTTACCTGTTTTTTTTTTGGTAGGCTTAAACTATGCTTTCACCACATAGTTTTTTGACTATTTGATTGTCATATCATACTTAAAATTAATTAGTGAAAATTAGGTAGACATTAATCATTTTATCACACTCCTTCATGGTAAATCACAGCGTCACGTCTCGAATCGAACAGAGTTGAATTTGACCAACCCGGTTGACGCCCACGTCTCAAATCGAACAGGGTTGAACTCGATTAATCCGACTAACGCCCGCCCACGTCTCAAATCGAGCAGGGTTGAACTCGGTTAATCCGACTGATGCACGCGTCTCAAATCGAGCAACCCAGCTGATACCCGACACCCATCATCTCAAACAATTAATCCCCACACAACCACCACACTGCCTTTGCCAATTGTCGATATGCACAAAGGGATCTGCATACTTTGGACATAATCCTCACACTGCAACTGGCAAGTTTCAAACATTGATCTCTTCTCAAAATATGGTATACTTAACCAGTGAACAAAACCCGTGAATGCCTGTATTTTTTTTTCCTGATGGACGACAATGTAAGATTTTTTTTTCTAATTTTTCAAGTATATAAAAATACTGTGAAATTTTTTATAATTTAGACTTTCTTTACCTACAAAAAGCAAAATTCTTTTGTCAATACCTTCACATCTTAATTTTAGTGACTCAATAATCCGTTAATTTAGTATTGTGTGACATATACGTTATTCATTTAAAGATCAAAATTAACATTTTAATAATAATGTTAATATAAGAAGCAAAGTAAATGTATGGGTGATTGGTGAATTTATGAATTGAATGACTATATCGAAAATTTAAGAAATTGTTATGGAATATTATCCTAATTTTGTGTGAAATGAATATATATAATAATTTAAGTTATATATATATTTGATGAGGCTTTTGAGGCGCGCAAAAGAGGGTGGATTGGGAGATTTGAATGGAGAGACGATCCGGAGCGTCGATGGGCCTGGGTATACGTTAGGAGCGGACGAGGGGTGGGCCCCAACACGTATTTGAATTGAGGAAGATGTGCGGTGACGCAGGAATGGTGAAAGACGAATGAGGAGAGTCACCGCTATGTGACGTTATGATACGATTTTGAATTCGAAATTTGAAGGCCCAGGGATCTGTCTTGACTTTAGTGCAGAAAAAGCACACATTGTCCAACGAACACATTGGAGCCTATAGGGTAGAGGGCAAATGCAATTTAAATTTAAGGCTGCAACACATGTCAACTGAATAAACTTCCCTATATGTCTATAATCATTGGTGCTTCATTACCTTGCACAATATTTTTTTTTTAAAATTCCCTAATATAAAACCAATTTACCATTCTTGTACTTTTGAACTTTAAATATATTACTCTCCTGTCTCATTTTATGTGTCGGTTCAGTTAACGAAACTTTAAAACATCTTCAATAGTTTTAATTTTGAGTTAATTCCGGCAATGGTCCCCCGATTATTGTGATTTTCCAAAATTGATCCTCGACTTTTAATTTGGACGAAAAAGACACTTGACTTTGTAATTTATTCCATCAATGGTCCTTCTGTTATTTATCCATCTCTTAGCTGTTAGTTGGGGGGCAAAATGGTATTTTCATTAGCTTCTTTCTTCAACCTGCATTTTCATCATTTCTTCTAACTTGTGTTTGTTGCCGCTTACCACATTGGTTTCCCAGTGAGCATCTCAACGAAGATGCAGCCCAGCGCGATATCCTTTGCCGCCATGTACGATTTCCAGGTTAAGGACTCTCGCGATGCGTACGACAACGTCGTAAACATTCTCCTCCGGAAAACATGGCGAGCCCGAGGTCGCAGAGCTTGAGGCAGTGCCTTTCGTTGTACTTTTCGAGGAAGACGAGAACGTTGCGGGGCTTCAAGTCGCAGTGGAAGATTCCGACAGTGCGCATGCAATAGATACCATTTTCTTTTTAATCACGAAAGGATTTGTTTATTTGCATACTTGAATTTCAAAAGAGAAGATATACAGGGCATCCATCCCGGTTGGAAAAATAAAATAGAAAAACTAGAGAATCTTAGAATCAAGAAATGTTAGAGATGATTAGAGATCCTGAATGATTTATCTCCAGGGCAAACCAAAAAACAAGTTTTCCAAGTAACTGATGAAATGAAACGGCACACATATAATCCTCTTTTATTTCTAAACCAAGGATGAACTCAAAATGGTTCACCAACAAGTGTAGCTAGACTTCTTGGTGACGATGACTTGACTAGTAACCCCAGTAATCATTTCGAATTTCATCATCAAACTTCTTCTTTAGTTTGGGGTGCTTTGAAATGTATTCCTTTGTTGTCACCGTGCTGAGTTTTTTCTTTAGCTCTTGGACATCTACAATTTCTTTTTCCAATCTTTCAGACTCCTTCAATGATTGCTTCTCAGCTTCTTTCAGCTCAACCAACAAGGCATCAAACTTGGGTTTATATTGGGGTGTGACTTTGTCCACATATTTAGGTTCCTGACTGAACTTGGTTTGGAGCTAGGAGTTGACATCATCGAATGCACGGCGAAGCATAGTGAACTCCTTGCGAGCCTCATCGGACACGAGAAGCTTCGCCATTCCTTCCTAGTCGATTGTCCTGCCAGCCTTGAACGCGATGTCGACAATCTTTTTCCCTGCTCCGCTCATTCTCTCTTTCTGCCTCTACGCCGGAATCTGTATTGAAATGTAAAAGGGCTCGCCAATATTGCAATAGATACCGTTGAGAAGCTGAAAAGTGTAACCTGCCGCCATTAACTCCGACATCCCACCGGAAGCCTCGATCATGTCATGGAGGGTCCCCTGATTCATGATCTCGCGAGTTCTCGTTTGTTCGTATCGCCGGAGACGGAGAGTCGAGAAGAGATACTCGGCGCTGGGATTAGTCAACATGTGCGTTAAAGTACGAGCACATGCGACGCTGGCGGTGAAGAACCAGACAGAAGGGATATCAAGCGACAAGGCAACCTTTTCCGCCCATAATTGCACGACATCATAGATTAGCAAATCCAGGTTCAAGGTTTTCAAGAGATTGGTGAAATTAGGTTCTGTCATTTTCAGGACCTTTTTGAGGGCGTCGTGGAGGTGGAGTGGCCGGGAGGCCATTGGTGATATGGTACTGAGGAGGAAGATCCGGGGATTCTGGAAGATGGAGTTCCAGGAATCGAATGCAGGTTAGAGGAAACGATGAAGATGGAGTTCTAGGAAGATCCAGCGATTCTTCGTCGAGATGTCACCGAGAAACTCATGTGGCAAGGCGGCAACAAACACCAGTTAGAGGAAACGATGAAAATGCAGGTTGAAGAAAGCAAGCCAATGAAAATACTATTTTACCCCCTAAACTAACAGCTAAGGGATGGATAGATAACGGAAGGACCATTGGTGGAACAAATTAGAAAGTCAAGTGTCTTTTTCGTCCAAATTAAAAGTTGAGGACTAATTTCGGAAAATTACAATAGTCGGGGGACCATTGGTTGCACCGCACGCGACCAAATGCAAGCCATATTTACACATTCTGGGACCACTTGATTGAGTAAAAACCAGGTTCTTATGGAAGATTTTTTTTTCTTCTGTCATTTTCCTCTCTCCTCCACATAAGCTTGTCATCGTAAAAACCATAGATGGGGATGCTCTTATTATAGTCATTTTTAATCCAATTTTCATAATATTAAATTAGTATATATTAGTATACAAAATTTATATATTTAGAAACTACACTAAAAAGTACTATTAAACACAAATACAGAACTCTATGTTCATAATTTTTTAACTCCATATTAACAATTATTGAACTCTATATTCGCAATTACAGAACTCTATGTTCATAATTTCTGAAATTCATATTCACAATTACATAACTCTATGTTCATAATTACAGAACTATATGTTCATAATTATAGAACTCTATGTTCATAATTTGTGAACTCTATATTCATAAGTTTTGAACTCTATATTCACAACCGCAGAATTCTATATTCACAGTTACGTAACAGTATATTCACAATTTGGGAAGAATTTTTTTAAAACTAGGGAAAATCAACGATTTGGTCCCTCAGTTGTTGGTGAAATATCAATGTAGCCCCTTAATTCCATATTCATCGATTTAGTCCCCGAAAATAATTGTTTTTAGTCAATTTACCCCCTCCGGCGGTCTTCCGTCAACCAGCCGGTGAAAACTCCGATTAACCATGGACAATTTGGTCATTTTCAATCTTCATCCATCTTCTTGACCGGAGGAATCCAGGGTTTTGTTTCTTGACCGGAAAATCACAACTCCGATGGAGAAAACGATCAGAAAACAAATGGAAAATCACAACATTCTTGTTCTCTCTCACTCCTCATAAAGCAAATGGAAAACAGTTGGGGAGGCTAGCGGTCCAGCAAGGGCGGAGGACCAATAAGCGGGAGCAGGAAGAGCCCGAGACCCGGAAAGAGAAATTGATCTCGCCGAAATCGACACAGAGTAGTTCCGGCGAGACTGATACATAGAATAAGCAGGAGAGAGGAGCAGGGAGGTGGAGCCGGGGTCGTAGTGGTGAAGAGAAATGGAAATATTGTTAATGGAGATGAGAGCAAGGAGAGGAGAGGAGAGGAGCAGTGGATTTGGAAAGAAGGAAAAACGTGAATCCAATTTGGGTTTTGGAAGCAGTATGAGCAGAACAATTTTGAACAAAGTGGAGAGGGAAGAAACAAAATCAATTTTTTTTTTCTAATCGTTTTGGGTTTTGGAATCCAATTTGAGTTCCATTAGCAATGCCAGAAAATATTTCATCTACCATTTTCAATTGCAATTCAATTCAACCAGAACCTCTCCAAATTCTACCACTGCAAATAAAGTATAACTTTTCTCAGTTGAAACACACAAAATGAAAAACTTTGCTTCCATTACCCCCATCAATTCAAGCAAAAATTCCAGTCCCATTGGCAATTACCCTTGTCAATTAAGAAGCAAAATCGTTGCTTCCAATACCCCCATCAATTCGAGGGTGTGGACAGGAAAATTGCACAGAAGCCATGAACAACTACATATATTTCCCAGGACCAAATAAATTAAACTAAAACTCAGAGAAGAAAATTCTTGGCTGGCAAACATTCAAAAGCATTTTCTCGGAATATGCAGAGCCCTATACTGTACGAAGAATGAGAACTTGGTGCTTGACATCTTAGACCGACGAAGACAATGGAGGGGGAAGACAAGGCGAGCGGCGAGAGAAGATTGGATGCAGGCTGGGGTGGTTTTGTTCCAAATAGAAGTGAAAAGACCAAATTGTCCATGGTTAATCGGAGTTTTCACCAGCTGGTTGACGGAAGACGGCCGGAGGGGGTAAATCGACTAAAAACAATTATTTTCGGGGACTAAATCGATGAATATTGAATTGAGGGGCTACATTGATATTTCGCCTACAACTGAGGGACCAAATCGTTGATTTCCCCTTTAAAAGTATGATTGGTGGAGGGAAAACGGTGCCACTAACGGCACCATTACTCCCGAATTGGAGAACAACTTCGTATTGGACCATCCATGGCATAACAATCCGTGGGTATTAATAGTTGGCACCCGCATCAAGGGTGGTGGGTGGAGAGAATATAAGGTGGTCGGGTGATGGATATAGATTTTTCCAATCCACCATCGACTCATTCTCATCCCTAATATTTATAAGAGACTTTTAATATGACGCTAAAAACGATAAATACATAATTTGGTGGATTTCCAATCTAATTAAATTCTCATTAACCAGAACTTTCCTAAGTAAAAGATTGCAACAAATATTTTTTTAGTGAGAAAGCTAAGATTGCAATAAATGTGAGAATACTTTTTTTCACAGGGCGTTTGGTTCACTGTAATTTATCTGTAGTTGAATTGCAATTCAGTGAATGCCTCAATTACATTGTTTGGTTGGAGGGGATTGCAATTCCCTCTTTTTGTTGAATTGCAATTCAATGAATTTAAGAAAGGAAAAACATAGAGAAATGATATTACTACCCCTGGTTGTTATTACTATTATTATTACACAATGGTATTTTAGTCTTTATACCACTTATTTCCTTCTCAATTCCAATAATTCTATTTCTACCTACCAGACAACGTAATTTGAATTCCTACTTTATTCCATCTTATTCTTTTCCCACAAAATTACAATTCATTTCCCGCCTAATTCCTTCCTTCCAACCAAACGCCCCGTCACTTTCTAATTCTAATCTTATGAAATTTTAAACTTTCCACCATATTAAACTCCCTCTCACAAACCATTTGGTTGGAATGAAGGAATTAAGGGAGAAATGAATTGTAATTTTGTGAGAAATGAATAAAGTGAGAATTAGGGAGGAATTCAAATTTTATTGTTTGGTAAATATGAATAAAAGCATTTAGTAAATAACTATATACCCGAATTAAAAGGGAAGAATTGATATAATAGAAGCTACACATACTATAAGACAGCACTTTTTAATCTAATTTTCTTTTCTTTCCGATCTCCATCAAGCTAGAACTGCAACAACAGGAATACCCTACAGGATATGGGGAATGTCCCAAATGAGATGATCAACAACTGATGGAAAATACATTTCCCAGAAATGCAGTCTGCTATTATTATTGGCCAAAATAAAAAGGGAAATACCCATTCTATTCAATTATTTCCCGTTTAGAAGAATTGAAACGACATTTAATTACCTGAAAAAACAGCACATAATAAGAATACAATATAAGTTTAAACCACAGCAGCGTCCCACACCGGAAACCTCTGAAGCTGTATACATGAATATAAGCAGCTAAAGGAGACAAAAAATCATGACCTTACTTGAACAGGATCTGTTCTATAGGTTCGTACTTCTGTATCCTTGAGTTCTAAGGAGACAGGAAATTAAGTCTGGTTGATGAACAGTGGTCAAGGGGCTAGAGCCTTGGCTGTCTGACAGGTTTCCCCCATCATTTTTGCAGTTTTGGCCACACCAGAAAATGGAGATTCTGAAATAAAAAGATCAAATCAGATTCTCATCAACACAACATTGGGGAAGCACCGAACCAGTCAGTATGGGATTGATTCTTGAAACGTGGATGCAGAAGCCAGGAGGCGGCTATGAAAGTTCAACATATAATGTTTGCAATTAAGCTAACAAGAAGCGTTTGTAGTCCAACGGTTAGGATAATTGTTTTCCAAGCAATAGACCCGGGTTCGACTCCCGGCAAATGCACTTATTTTCTGTTCTTTATTGTGCTTGACTCCAGCTCATTTAATATTAAGAGATATTCTACCCTTGATTCAAGTCATATTTATATGTGAATGTTATTCATCGTTTTATTTTGTATATGTATTATCTATATTATATTAAAAAAATTACTATATATAATTTGGGCACTTAATTCAGAATAAAGATTTTTTGAAAGAAAATGTAGAGTTTGCTTACATGATCCCGTAAATTTAATTTAATTTTTTTTTTTTAAAAAATATTGTAATCTCTCTCTATGTTGTAGGAGCTTTTAGGCTCTTCCAAGGTCAAGTGACCTAAATTATAAGCCAAAGCCCCAAGCACAGAGCTTTGATACTCTTTAGTCAATCGTTATACCGTGACTGTAGACCCTGATCAGTCCAATACACAGAATTTGACTTCGTAAGGTCACACACATACACATAAATACGATATAATGAACATGAATTTTGTGTATTATATTAAGTGTTTATGTATCATCAGCTATATAATTCTGTATATTATGAACATGAATTTTGTATTTTATGAAGTCAAATTTTGTATATTGGACCAAAGTCCACAATGCACTGTGAACCAGGTATAAATTGCCATCTTTTGCACTTTCCTATGAGCATATATGTGAGAATTATTATTACTCTAACTCTTTTTCTTAACTTTTTAATTTTGTAGATTTCATTATTTTGCTCCAAAACTTCAATGTATGAACTGTAGAATGATTGTATCTTTCCTTTTGTTTTTCTAAACTTGTTTGCTTTATTTTATTCAATTTATTTGTATGCTTTATTTTTTTTTTCAACTGAATTTCCTATCTTGTTCAGTTGTTCTGGCAAGAAATGTGTTATTATTGAGAGTGGTTGAATAGTCTTATTGTACTCTATCTTCCAGTTGTTAAATCTAATCATTATTTGTTCTTTTGCTTATTTAATTTGGCTAACGAATTCGCTTAGG